TAATATCTTTTTTAGTTAAGAGGAAAAGCATGTTTTGCATTATATGACTTATCATAATAAAATTATTTTAATTTTGGCTAATTTTATGATTTTCATGTTGATTTTCTATACAAAAAAATCGTATATCTCTTATAAAATAATTATCTTATTTATAAATATATAACAATAATAACAATAACAAGCCTTTATCCCATTACGTGGGGTCAGCTACATGAATATTTTTTCTCCATTGTGCCATGTTAAGAGACAATTTCTCATTTAAATTTAATAAAGAAAGGTTATTTATGATATTTTTGAACCAAGTCTCTTTAGGTCTATCTCTACCTTTCTTAACATAGGTAAAATCTAATACACCTACTCCCCTAACAGGGTCATCAGAAGGTCAACATCTTACATGACCAACCATCTAAGGTGACTCTCTCTAATCTTATATGTCACTGGAACTACTCCAACCTTTTCCAAAATATGTTGGTTTTGTATCTTGTCTATAAGAGTAAGTCTACTCATCCACTTGAGTATCCTCATCTTAGAAACACTTAATTTTTTGCTTCTCTTTTAATAGGCAACATTTTGCACCACAAAGCATTGCATGTCTCAACACCATCTTATAAAATTTTCCCTTATGATTAAGTGGTACTCATCTATCACGCAACAAATCCAAATAATTACTCCACTTCAACCATCCAACTTGAATTCTAATAATAATATCCCCATTTATTTCACCATCACACTGAACAATAGATATAATATATCTAAAATAAGTACACTTATTAATGATTTGATTGCTCAAAGTTGCAAACCCCCCACTAGATCTATTGCTATTAATATTATACTCCATGTATTTGATTTTAGATATACTCAATGTAAAACCTGAAATCGATAATTGTAGACGTCGCACGCATTTTGATTCGATGTATCGTGATGAAAATCCAATGTCATCGAATTTCTACAAAATAATTTTTATAAAATTCTACGTAAAATTTGGAGAAATTTGATATAAAGAACATAGTCAATTTTTCTTAAGTTTGAAATTAAAAATGCTAGAAGTTTTAATATGCCTAAACTACCCCTATTAATATTAATACGAATATAAGTCATATGAGGGCAAAGTGGTGCATAATCCTTATTTTTCCTAATTTATAAGGGACCGAATTTTGGTCCCTTCTCCTCATTTCCGAAACCGAACGAGAGAGATGAAGATAGGGGCGGACAAAAGGTGGACGGACGGCATCTCCGGCGACAATTTCCTGTGAAGAGATTTGGAGGAAATCGAAGTGGAAGTCAACGGAAGGGTAAGGTATGCGCCCCATAGATTTAAGAAAATTCATCTCATTCTCTAGATTTTTGGAAGACAATATTTTAAAGGTTTCTCCAAAAATGGTTGTTCTTTCAAAATCACATCATGAAATCCATAGGAAATAATATGAAAGATGTTTTAATAGTGAAAACAAAGTTTTTCTCAAAACATTTTAAGATTGAAAAAATTAGGGTTTGCACATCTTTGAATTTTGAGAAAAATTTCCTTCATGATTATTATTCCAATGGAGCTTATGGATGTTTTTAATGATGAAAATTTAGGTTTTAACAAAAAATTATTTTTCATAATTTATATATTAAATAGATATGAAATTTAATTAACATAATTATTAATTAGGTTTAGGAGAATATTTAGCTTGATGATGTGATGAAATTAATGAATTTAGGGTTCCAAAAAATTAGGGATTTTAATAAATCCAAAAATTATAATTAATTTTATTTTAATTAGGAAATGAGTGAATGGTTATTTTTGGAAAAAAAATGTAAATTTAAACGAATTAGGGTGATGTAATAATTGGGAAATTATTTAAATCCAAAAATATAAATATAAATAATTTTTTTAATGAAAATATGTTATGGTTAAGGTTGGGTGACAATATTTGCTTTTATATTCAGGTGTCGACTAAAAGGATGCCTCGAGCTTAAACGACGTCGTGCGTCGTAGAGATTGCTTTACGATACATGGGAGGTAGGTGTTTGCATTTAAATTAAGTTCATGAATTTAAATTAAGTTAATTTTGCACTTTTAAATTCGCATGCTAATATTTATGAATTTCTTTAATTATTTTTAATTCCTTTATTTTTACATTATTATTTATATTCATGACATGATATTAGGAATGTTAAAGTTTGTAAAACAAAAATTTAATGCATAACTGATACTAAATTATTACACGAAGAACATTAAAGAACATATAAATTTATGAATAATTTTAGTCTCCTTGATGTATACAAATATTATGAATTGCATGTACATGATGATCCGGATTACCAAATGGTAAAAAGGTTCTATGGAGCCAAATAGTAAGTGGTTTCTACGGAGCCAAATGGAAAAGGGGTTTTTCGAAGCCAAATGGTAAAGGGATGGACAAAAACTTGACAATGTACATGATCAGTACAAAAAAAAATTTTTCTGGTACTTCAGGGACAGATGTTTATTATATATTATGTTTATATATTTTATGTATTTAATTAAAAGACTATAAATGAGAAAGTAAAAAGTTTATGAAATTTTATGGAAAATTTTTTAAAGTTAAAGCTTCTTGAAAAGTCTTATGATTTCTGTCTATTAATGTTTATTGAAATCTTTTAAATGTTTTAATTCATGCTTAATAATATATTTAAAAATAGTACATGAATTTAAGATAAATGCTTATGACCTACTGAGCGTGGCTCACCCTACTTTTAGAAATATTTTTTTAGGAGAAAGTGATAAGAAGTAATAGCATCGAGACGATAGTTTACCTACCGTCGTAGAGGGCCTTAAGATGTCTGGTTTTTATTTTTTTGTTATGAGTATGAGTCAGTGGATTGTAATGTGAAGTCTGCTGAGGTTTTATGTTTATATTTTTAGTGGTTGTACGTTTTGAAGAAGTTATTGTAAAACTTTAAATTTGATGTTTAGTGGCTCTTTCTTAAGTTGTATGAACGATGTTTATGTTTATGTCTTTTATGAAGTGAAATTGTTATAATTTATATACTTCATGTGTTTTTCGTACGATTGTCTATTCATGCCCCGTTAATTTGGGCTAGTTAGGCCGGGTCGTGACACTCAAATGAAAACCTTTAGACTCTAAGGTTGACTTCAATAATTCAAATTTACCTACAATTCCCTCTCAAGTCTTATCAACAAGAAGAATATCACCAGTAAAAATCATACACCAAGGACATCTTTTTACAAATGTCTAGTGAGAATAACCATGACTAAAGCAAAAAAAGATAAGGGCTTAAGGTTGATTCTTAATGTAATCCAACTGAAATAGGAAAATACTTTATCAAAGCACCTTCTGTTTAAACACAAGTAACAGCTCTTACATACGTATCCCTAATGACTTAAATATAAGCATTATTAACTCCTTTCTTTTCTAGAACTCTCCATAGCACTTCTATCAAAACTTTTTAATATGCTTTCTCTAAATTAATAAATATCATATACAAATCATCCTTAGTCTCTCTAAACTTCTCCATCAAACCTGTCAATAAATGAATAGCTTTCATAGTAGACCTACTCGACATGAATCCAAATTGATTTTGATAAACATTAGTATCACGTCATAACATAAGCTCCATAACTCTCTCTCAAAGTTTTAAAGTATGACACATCAACTTAATTCATCTAAAATTCACACAATCTTATGCATTACCTTTATTCTCACATGCATTCTCCACTCATCTGACATTTTTTTAGTCTTCAAAATAATATTAAAAAAATTAGTTAAGTCAAGAAATTTTTTTATCTCTTAATCATTTTCACACCTCTATTAGAATATCATCATGTCCACTAGTTTTTTTTTTTACATTTATTTTTTTTAAAAACCATTCTAACTTTAGTTTTACTAATACGCCGATAAAAATAAGAATATATATTTTCATTTAGAATGCTAAGGTCACTAAAGTCAATCGTTCTCACAATCTCCTTTCAAAAGCTTAGCAAAATATCTCATCCACCTTTGTTAAATATCATATTCTAAAAAAGTATTTTTTGATCTTCATCCTTAATATGTATACTTGGACTAAATTCTTACTACTACTATCTCTTTATTTGACTAACTTATACATATATCTTTTCCCCTCTTTAGAATCTAATATATTATATAAATAATTAAAAACTAAAATCGTTGTATCACAAATTGCTTTCTTATACACCTTATGAGCTTCTTTATATCTTTCCCAATTTTTATAGTTTTTATATCTAAATCAATTATTATAGGAAAGTTTCTTATTTTTTATCTTTTCTTGCACATTTTGATTCAACCATCAACTGTTTTTATTATTAGGAGCTTTTCTTTTTGAAACTCCAAGTACATCTTTTACAATACTATTAATATTACTAGCTATTTTATCCCACATAACATTTATTTTCTCATGCACAGATAAAATCTTAAGATCTAAAATCTTACAATTAAAAATATTTTTTTATTATTTTTTAAAAGCCCCTTTCTAATCTTAGAGCAACATTTTACTAATTTTTTCATATTATGTCCATCCATCTTAAAATCTAAAACTAATAAGCGATGTTGGGTACATAAACTTTCGCTTAGAATAACTTTACAATCTTTGCAATATAAACCATTTATTTATTTTATAAGAAAATAATCAATATGCATTTTACTATACCCATTTATATAAGTGATGAGATGTTCGTCTCTTTTCTTAAATAAAATATTAACAATGATAAAATCTTAAATAAGAGCAAAATATAATATAATCTTACCATCTTCATTAGTCATTTCAAACTCATTGCCATCATAAATATTTTAAAAATATTATACATTTCTACCAACATATACATTTAAATCTTATTTATAAATATACAAAAAATAATAATAAATTCTATTTTTTAACATAATAAATATTCTAATTTATAAAACAATATTATATTAAAATCAGAATAACAACTTACATTAAAAAAAACAAGCACGCAATAACGTCTCCATCCAGGTCAACTCCACATAGTCTCCACTGTCCACATCGTAGTCCTCTTAGTTTCTCCCACACACCCGGAACGCATGCGAGCAATCACAAGGCCCGCCTATGTGCGAAGCGGAGACGGCTGAGGGCGCGCCACCACCATCGCCGTTGCCACCGGCGGCGTCCACTGCCCGGCCGAAGCTAACCATCCTTCCCCTCATCGCCCTCATATTCTTCGACGTCTCCGGCGGCCCCTTCGGCGTTGAAGACTCCGTCGGCGCGGGCGGCGGCCCTCTCCTCTCCATCCTCGGCTTCCTCCTCTTTCCCCTTCTCTGGTCGCTTCCTGAAGCTCTAATCACTGCTGAACTCTCCACCCTTTTCCCCTCCAATGGTGGCTACGTCGTCTGGATCTCCTCTGCCTTCAGTCCCTTTTGGGGTTTCCAACAGGGAATCTGGAAGTTCGTCTCCGGCGCCATGGACAACGCACTCTATCCTGTCCTCTTCCTCGATTACCTCAAACATTCCCTCCCCTTCTTCTCCGATTCCTCCCTCGGCCGACCCTTCGCCCTCATCGCCCTCACTGCCGTCCTAACCTTCCTCAACTACCGTGGACTACACATCGTCGGCTTCTCCGCAATTGCACTCACGTTTTTCTCACTTTCTCCTTTCATCGTCCTTTCCGTACTCGCGATCCCTCGGATTCGACCTTACCGCTGGCTAACCGCCGACATACGCAGCACCGATTGGCGCGGGTACTTCAATAGCATGTTCTGGAACTTGAATTATTGGGATAAGGCAAGCGCGCTTGCGGGGGAGGTGGAAGAACCTAGCCGTGCGTTTCCGAGGGCGATCTTTGGAGCTGTGGGGCTCGTGGTGGCATCGTACTTGGTGCCCCTGCTTGCAGGCACAGGGGCGATTGATATATCTAAGGCTGGGGAGTGGAGCGATGGGTATTTTGCGCAAGTGGGGTTGGAGATTGGAGGGGACTGGTTAAGATGGTGGATACAGGCGGCTGCGGCTATGTCAAATATGGGATTGTTTGAGGCCGAGATGAGCAGTGATTCGTTCCAGTTGTTGGGGATGAGCGAGATGGGAATGATTCCCGAAATTTTCTCCAGGAGGTTCTGCTCTCTTCTGCTTTTATCCTCCTTTTTATTCACCCTTTTTATAATTATCTGTTCAAGTACAATGTTTGCTTGTGGTTGATGTCGGCTTGGGAGTTTAGGTAATATGATTTTTTTAACCATGATACTTTTCTTGAGTAGCAGCTGCTGAACAGAACTCTTTTTGAAGATGCTTAAAGAATTGAAATCAATTCTTTGAGAATAATAAATTTTCTACTGAGTAGACTAAATAAATTCTCTCCCTTAGAACCATACAATTTACTTGCCCATTGCAAGTACAGGACAAAAAATTTAGGTATGGCATTTTCCATTTTTGTTCCAGTAACTGCAATACTAGTTGCGTTCTTGATAAAGCCTGGAGTGAGCCATCAGCATTTGTTTTTACAATCTTATTGATGCAGCTTTTCTTAGCATCTTATTCTTGTTTTATTTTATTTTCATGTTTTCCTGTTATCTTTAGTGTCATTCAGTAGCTATTATTTCTTGGTTAGTCATTTAGCTTTTACTTTTTTTTTACGGTTTGTCCCTATGGTAAAAACATTAAAAGTAGCTCTGTAATGATATGAACCTGCCTTTTCAGAATTACACAATTTCTCTTTGATAGAAAATACTCTGTTCCTCTTCTTCTTGCTTGTGATGCGTCATTTTGGTACTTGAGCAACCATGATGGACAACAAAAAAGCCTCAATCCCTAACGATGATCTCAACTAGGAAGCTCTGAAGCAGCCACATGTCTCAAACAATGGGTGGATTCCTTAAGCCTGGAGTTCCTTAAGTTTGTGACAAAGATGAGATGGAGCTTCAGGTTTTAAGGAATAGCGTCAATCTTTCAATGGCAAACACACCAGCAAGTTTGGCAACCACATCAGCTCTTGGAGATGGTGTTGTGTTATATTGGATTTCAGGCACCACAGTTGCCCAATTTAATTGATCATCCCGAAATTCCTATATCCAACTAAGAGAGAGCTCTTCGATTATGGGCGATGTTCTTTGATTTGGATTCAAAGATTGAAATGCTGCCGTGGAAACCAATTTCCAAACAACGGTTGTAAAACACTCGTTAAAATTGATATTCCCTTTTTTTTATGGCCATTTGCATATCAAGGATAGCCTTGATTGGTAGCAAGCGTTAAATATTTTTTTGAGCATATAAACATTGCTGCAAATAATTAAGAGAAATTTGTGGCTACTAAGGTCAATGGAGGATCAAGTGTTTGGTGGATCCAATTAACCCAAATATGCCAACAAGAGGAAGGAGTTCTGTGAAAATTTAGCAAAGGATAAAACAATTATTGCATGGCCATTTCTCACCAACAGACTATGAGCTAATGTTTACCTCCAATACCATTCACGCAGCCAAGGGACTTGAATTGTAAGTTGTTATACCGAGGAATTTTATCAATTGAGTCCCCGGAACAACCTGAATGGGAATGAACAACGATTGATAGCTCGATAAATTGGATGGTTGAAAGAGTATAATAAAGATAAGATGGAGATGAACATAGTTTGGTTGTTATCACAAGCCATAAATTATGCATATAAAGCTGAAATGCAATAGTCCATGATACCTACAAACAGCAACATGCAAAGGATATCCGATGAATAGCTCTCTGACAATAACAAAATGATCACCTCAATGCCAATACCTGGCCAAAGTCCCTTCAGTCCCAAACCCAAGCCATTATACTTGATAAAGCTAAACAAATGGGCAAGCAAGCTGCCAATCATGAGAATGTATATTATAAATGGGGACCTTCCAAGTGTTTTCGTTGCTTCCAATCGGGGCATCATTCAATTGAATGTATGAATTAATGCTAGCTACAACTCTTAGAGGGAGAGCAAGACCCTAATAATTAATCTCTAATTATGCTGTCATCCAAGAATTACGAAGATGTGATAGACAATGAAGGAGAGTTTTTTCTTGCATCTTGGAGAAGGTTTTGCTAGTGCTTAAGCAACTGGCCCCTTACAATGACACAATAATTTTTTTTTTCAAACCCGTTGCATTCTATTGGAAAGGTACCTTTTAATCGACAGTGGGTGCTTGGAGCTTAAACTTACAAGCACTCGAACTCCTATAAGATTAACTAGTCAAGGTGAGGAATTGAAGTTCCCATTACAAAATCGTGCCAAGTTTCATTTACAATTAGTAAGCATTATAATGTAAAGTAAAACACGACTTGCCTATCACATTATTTTAGGAAGGCTGTGGCAATTCAATATGGGGACATGATATGAATGTTAATCCAATGCTTAGAGCTTTGCATTGCGGGGAAGAAAGATCAAATTGTTATCACCAACTTCTATCCCGGGTTTGATCACCAAAAAAGTAGCGCGAGCTGTTTTCATCATTGTTTCAAGAACTCAAATCATAATTGAATTTAAAAAGCAATCTCAGGTGTTTGCAGTCTTCACAATTGAGCTAAATTTTGTGAAATTCCACATTGCAATCAAAATGTAGAGATTACTTCAATTCTAGGATATTATGCCAATTGATTTGTCCAAGCAGCTACCTCCCATTCGAACGATTCAACATCAAATTGATTTATCCTAGATTCAACTCTATGAAAATTGTTCTACTATAAAATGAGTCAAAAAAACCTAAAATATAATAGGAAATTGTCAATGTGCTGCGAAACCAAAACTTCCTCCACCATACCTCGAGTCATGATGTTATGTTGGCTTTACTTTTTCCTAAGAAGGATGGGAAATGACGAATGTATGTTAACAATAGAGCAATTAACAAAATTGTGGTAAATTATCATTTTTTATGCCGAGACTCAAAGATTTGTTGGACAAATTGACGAACGTCATCGTAGTCTCCAAGCTAGACTTTGTTGACATGAGATTTGGCCCCACACACAACTCAACTAACCGGCTCCCACTACCCACAATCTCCCTCACGTAACCATCGCTCCTCATGACACAAAACCCCTCAGACGAACCGCCCTCCCTCTCATCCGGACTCTTACACATAAATCTATCTTGTTTTTCTCATCTCCCTCAACTACAAGCACGAAGGACCCTAGTTGAAGCCGGCATTGATCGATCCAAGCCACACGTTTCTTATACGCAAACTCGACCGGTAGCATGACTGCGACTCTGTGGCTCTAACCCGATCCCGCCGCAATCCACCCTCGATCCTCCTTCACTCACTGATTATGCCTACTTGCGCACAACCTGCCCCCCGCCGCCGCTCCAGCGCCTGACTGTCGAGCCAGCCTGACCTTGTTCGATCTCATCTTCCTTATATATAATATAATATAAATATAAATAAAAAGAGAGAGAGAGCAACAAGTAATCACTGATTTTGGAGACCTGCGCCGTCGACCTTAGATTTGACCAAGAATGCACAAATTGAAGCCCTTACGCCATTGATCTTTGATATGGGCTAAGAGATCTTTTAAATTGAAGGCCCCATGTAGTTGTATCTTAGATCTTGATAGGATGATTGCAAATGCGAAGACCACACGCTGTTGTATCTTAGATCCGGGCAAGATGATTGAAAAGCAAGTGTGCTTTCCTAACCTCCCTTCACGGGGAGGGGATGTTGGCAGGTTGTCGAAATTAAAAATAAACAAAAGGGGACCCTCACACAATAAAAAAAAAATTCCAAATGATTTAAAATAAATACAATAATAATTATTATTGTGTGTTAGATTATTTGATGTTGTAAAGTATTAGATTTCATGTTTTAGTGTTGAACGAGTATCCAGCTCATAAACATAAAAAGAACATAAACACCAAAATTTTTATGTTGAAAGCCCTAAAGGGAAAAACCATCGGGTCACGCCCACTTAAAATGATTATCACTAGTGTTTGAATAGATTACAAATAATTGGTTCGTCTTTGAGATTAAGGACGACCAGATTACAACAGTCAACCGTCATGTTGAAATCTTGTGACAAAAAGGGATCGTACGGAAGTCCAACGACATTCGGTGGATGGGCGAAAATCCAACTTCAGTTGGTGGCCAGGCAGAAATCCAACGACGATCGGTGGCCGGGTGGTGGTAGGGGTGTAACCAAGTCAAGCCGGCTCAGGCTCGACTCGTTAACAGGCTCGATGAGTCGAGCTTGAACATGATTTAGAGCTCGACGGCTTATCTAGCTCGAGTTCGAACAACACACCAGTTGACTCGCGAGCGGGAAAATCTGAAGGAGGCGGGCGACTCGCTCAGAGGTTGAGGCGGGCGACTCGCTCAGAGG